CAATGGTTTTCATTGAGCAGTAAATTAATTCACAATTCATGGGGACTTGGGGTCAGGTATTCTGATTCAGACACAGCTTATCGTCGACCGCCACCCGGCATAAGGGACAGGCGCTTATTAACAGCGAGCACGAGCTACAGGTGCACACGTGACCGCACGGTAGGAACACCACATCGCACTGGTAGGTGAGAGAGAGAGAAAGACATTAATTTTATTGAATAAAAACTTTTATCAAACAGAATATTCTTACGATTCTCTCGATACAGACAACACACTCGGCTTCCCTCCAGAGCCGCACGTCAGCCAACTGTCCCGTCAGTTGTATCAGGTCTACCTCGACATCATCAGCGGCTACCTGTGCCTCCTGTACGGCATTTAGCGCCCCCTCCATAGGCCTCATGGGTACCGGCGCTGACGGCTGCGCCTCACCGCCACCACCAACAGCACCGGTAGCCTCAGCGCCGGCTGTTCTACTATGCAGTTCATCCAACTTATCGCGGATCAGTTGACACAAGTCGTAGTCGTCGACCCCGAGCGCCAGTATAGCCTTATCGCCCATGGAGTTCAGCCTATCGTACGTTAAATCCGTAAATAGTGTCAAATAGTTGGCCACCCGTTCCGACTCCTGGTGGACGGCCGTCAACACTGCGGCGATCCGGTCGTCGATACCCAACTGCCTGAGCTGCGCCTCCAGCGGCTGCCTCTCCATAAGGCACTGGTACTGCACTAACCAGAACTCGTCGTCGTCGGGCACCTGTAGCCGCCGGCGCTCTATATCGAGCACTCGTTGCCGCAGCTGCGCATCCCGTTCCCGCTTTTGGGCCAACAGTTTGGCTAACAGTGCGGCCAATTCGCGCCGTTTGCCCGATATGTCCGCTAATATGGTGTCGAGGCGTTCATCCCTGCGCTGCATCTCAGCGCTGGTTAACTGCGATAACTCGCGCTCAATGAGCCCTATCTGGCCGGTCAGCTGACTGGTCCGGTAGTCGCGCGTCCGCTGTAAGGCCTCGAATGCTTGTCGTTGTAGGCGTTCCTATAAGGGAGTGGCGATGAAAGTGTCACCCGATTAGACCACTAATACTTAGTTATGTTTGTGTGAAATACGGTGGACAGGGATATGCGTGCTAAGGGAGGGGACAGTTAGCTAAGGCATACTTGTTGGTTGATTTTGGTGCGCAGCTCCAACTGATTAAACTCCTTGAGGTCGTCGGTGAGGGCCCGGGCGGTCGACTCGCGGTTCAGCATCTCCTGCATCGCGATGAGTATAGCGCTCTTCCGGAGCACCACCTCCTTGTCGTAGCGGAGCATACGGTCGAGCAGTAGCCGCTCGTCCCGCTCGAGCACCTCCTGCTGGTTGCGGTGCCGGTCCTCCCAGTTGTACAGGTTGTCCAACAGTTTCCGGGAATGTGTGTCCACTAAATGACACACAAAAATGTGTTAATTTTGCGAAAAACCTATTGAATTACAACACTAGTGATACATACGCTGAGACATACCGTCCAACAGGGACTGGCGATCCCTGTCCTTCTGGCGCTGGCGGCTGTTGATGTCGGCCGACACCTGGCGCTCGTCGGCCCACAGCTTATCCAAGAGCTGCTGTTTCTTCTTGTCGGCCTCCAGTCCCTCATCGGCGCCGTTAGCGTCGGTCGACTGGAACTTTCGCTCCCACTCTATGAGTGCCCGCTTTTTTTGGTCCTACAAATTGGTGCCAAAAATCGTATATTAATTCATTGTTAACTACTTATGCGTTGACTACCGGTGCCGTCGGTACAGTGAACTGAATGCCGGTCTATACGTGCCTTAAGGTTGTGATAATTCTGGTACTCAATGCCCTCCTATTAGTGTGTGTGTGGGTGCGTGTGATTGGCATATAGTGTACGCGAAATACAAATACAAATGTGAGTTAAAGTAATTGAAAAATATATTTTAATTGATAAATAAATTATAGGTTTATATATTAGNTTGTGATAATTCTGGTACTCAATGCCCTCCTATTAGTGTGTGTGTGGGTGCGTGTGATTGGCATATAGTGTACGCGAAATACAAATACAAATGTGAGTTAAAGTAATTGAAAAATATATTTTAATTGATAAATAAATTATAGGTTTATATATTAGCGTGACATGCATATTACGGTATATGAGAAACAGGTACTCTAGGTTTAATTGACTGGAAATAATATGAAAAACACTGAATACAAAAGCTCTCATTAATTATTTACACCGGTATACTAATGACTCCGGTGTTTATGTTTATAAACTATCTTTAATGAAGTTTATTTTAGTTTTAATGTTTATTATATTTTAGTTTTGCTTATAATTAACATATTTACTAAAATTTTTATGATAGTATTTAGTAATTATAATGATTTTATTACTTTAGTACTTAATAATGGCATACATTAAGTCATAAACAGAATATTCTGTGACATTTAACTTCATTATAACGAGAGTTCAATCTAAGTATATTAAATAAAAATACATTTATATACTATATATTATCATTAAGTTTTTAAATACCATTCGTTATAAACCACAATTAATAATATTTAAGAATATGTCAAAACAATGCAATCATTTTAATGTAAAAAACTAAACATTAAGCGTAGGCTTAATGGTTAAGACTATTTCTCACGAAAATGCAATTTCAAAACACGCAGTCATAACAACTTGTATCCCATATTGCCATCGATTGGCAAACAAAGTCTTATTGCTATGTAATTGTCATTTCATATGATATGCAATATACAGAATATTCTGTACAATGCGTAGCCGTATATAGTATACAGAATCTAAATCTATATATCAACTTATATCTGGAAATATTGCAACCAGACTCTCTCTCTCTCTCTCTCTCTCTATCTCTCTCTCTCACTCACTCACTCACTCTCACTCTCTCTGACATATAAAGTGTAGAAAACTAAGAGTGAATGACATAATGAGTGAGAATAAGATGGGAATGGGATGTAAGAATGCGCTCCATTTCACAGCACCCATAGCTCACTCACAACCGAAAATAATTGATTAGAAAAATTATTTCTGTAACACTTTCGCTCTCTCTCTCTCTCTCTCCCGCCTATACTTTTATATAATGTTATAAAAATAAATACACATTTCATTTGACATCTCACTTCCCGGGCGCTACTATTTCGGGTATTTTTGGCTCATATTTCAAACGGGAATAATAGATAAGAAAATTTTATTATTATCTCTTTATTTGTAACACTTTTGCCGATTATTCTCTAACTATTCTTTCAATATGTAATTATAGCCTCAGTTTTGAAACATTGTTTTTCGCACTAATTAAACTGAATTTTTATTTATAAAAATAGTTTTACGAGCCATACATGTGTACAGGTTTTTCTAATAGATTTAACACATGTGATAACTTATTTACGGCTAACTATATGAACGCAGATATTCATAGGTATTGTGAGACTGGATATTGATTAGCAGTAAAACATAAATAGTCGAGAAAATCAATTTTTCACTTAAAAGTACAATTTCTGCGAAAAATATATCACTTCTATAAAAGTTTTAATTTAATTTCATATGTTTTATATTGTAAGCACAATTCATTATAACCGATAGTATGCTATAATATTATGTGACAATAAGTTATAATGTTTTATAAATTAAATATCTAAAAATATTTATAATGCACTAATGAAAATAATTTACTTATATACCGTATTATATTAATGGGTGTTATTTGTTAGGAATGCATAAAAACCTCTAATACTATGAGGTATCATATGATTGAATAAAAATAAAATAAAATTCTATTGTATTGTATTATAAATGCAAATAAAAAATATAAAATACATTCATTATTCATAATAGATATGAATGATATTATAAGTCCTATTGAAAATATAACTTAGAAATCTACCGGTACCTACAACCAACTGTGCAAAGCACGGGTGTGTGTGTATTATATGTTAGTAGCCATGCAAACAGACACACCATTAGCGGTAAACAAATTGCAAAAGCATTTATTATTTATAAACTTCAAAAAACACCATTAATTATAAAACTAAAAGTTATATTAAATATAAAAATAATATTCTACGCATTGATAGGACAGTTAGCTTTCATACCACAATCGGGTCGTATTTCTCGTCATCACTACCGGTGCCATCGGTGGCGACCCCCCGGTCGCGGGCTAACAGCTCCTCGCAATCGTTGTCCACGTTATCATCAAATCCATGGCCGCTATCGGCGCCGGCGTTTCGTTGTACGTATGAGAGTATGGCGTCCACGCTCTCGGCACAGGCCTCCAGCGCCGGTAGCTCCAGAGGGTTGCCGTCCAATTGCAGCGATTTCAACAACTTTAGCCTCAATATAGAGGGGGAAAGGCGTGCGAGTTGGTTGTCCCCCAAGTCTAGGCACGTGAGGGCCGGGCATCGGGTCACGCACTCCGGGAATGCCGTGAAAAGATTGTCGCGAAGGGCCAGTATTTTAAGGGCTGGCAGTTTGCCGGTCGAGTCGGGCAACGCGGACAACTGGTTATGGCTTAAGTATAGCTCCTAAGGGAACGGGAGTTCAACAAAAAAAAAACTTAATGTTTAAATAGTTTTCATAACTATTCATATTTGGCATTAAATGGGATTAAAAATGATTAGCGACTATACGCTGATGTATATAATGACTACACCATGAGCTCAAACTCCATGTCCACTAGTGGTTAAGGCGGTGTAATTCGCACCGGTATTATAAGGCAATGTTTTTTTTGTATAAAACTTTTTTGTCGTGTATTTTATAACGACAATAAAAAACTAGTAATTAATGACACAAAAAGTGAGCCATACTTTCAAATGGATGAGTAGTGAGAGGTGTGGGCCGACAGTGCGGATATGGTTGTAGGACAGGTGTAGGGCCCGGACGCCGGCCATGGACTGCACCGACTCGACGGCGAACTCCTGGAACTGGTTCTCATCGAAACGACAGTCGGTTTTGCCGTAGATTTTGATTGTCGTCTGGATTTGGGCGCTGATTGTCGGCAGTCGACAGGCGCTCAGGTCTAGTATGGGCTCCGGGTCTGATTGGCACTGCGGTAGACATACGGTTAGGCAATGGGTTGTTCAATATCCGGGTAATAATGAGTCGACAAACAGTCTCTCTCTCTCTCTGACACATATAGTGTATAAAATTCAGACTAAATTACATAATTAGAGAGAGAGAGAGAGACAGAGAGAGCTATTTAATAGTCAATAGGTTATGAAGGGGTTAAGGGGTTAAGTGGGGGACAGATATAAAAGTAATTATTAGTAACAGACTATATGTAAATTAATTATTAAGATACGGTAAATAAGTGGGAATAAAAAATATCCAATATCTAAAATAAGTACCATGGCCAGTTTTCTATCCACTTTGCGCCTAATGGACTCATCCTGGTTGGTGTCCAGCGACCGATCCTTTGGTATATTATTATTGATTTTAATGAATTTCCTCATTATCCAATATCTAAAATAAGTACCATGGCCAGTTTTCTATCCACTTTGCGCCTAATGGACTCATCCTGGTTGGTGTCCAGCGACCGATCCTTTGGTATATTATTATTGATTTTAATGAATTTCCTCAAAAAAGACATTTAATTATCACTGCATTCACGACATGGACTCAGAAATAGTGTTCAAAAACACTGTTATTATTACACGAATTATAATATGTTATATATACAAGGTGGTTTTCTATATTATTGCACTCTGGTAAGGCTAGTGAATAGTAATAATTAAAATGTATTTAAAAATATATGTATATTTCGGACATTTTTAAAGCTATTGAAAAATGAGTATTAAATTCGTATCACTAGTCGCGTAAAAGTAATAAAAACTTTTTCCTATCATTTCATTTGACACATGAAAACACAAACTGTTTTGACGTTTAGCTATCATTCATATAACACTCGTATTGAATGAAACACTCGTTGAGTGTCTTATGTGTGAATATATTCGCCAGCAATGAGTG